AATAATAAAATATATAAACAACAAATATTATAATAATAAAATATATAAACAACAAATATTAGAATCTATTAAAAGTAAAAGTGTAAAAGTAATATAAAACAAAATAAAATAAAATAAAATAAAATAAAATAAAATAAAATATCCTTAACTACAGTCAACCCTTGTGATACATACTTGTTTCTCCTACACATACACGTACATATACACACTTATCTATCATCAAAGAAAATAGGATTAAATCTTATCGGGTGGAAACGTAAGCAAGAATATTTTTTTCTTTTCATATTTCTTTTTTATATGTAACCTGAGTTTATATATACGTGACCCGATTTTCAAACCTACAATACTACGTTTGATTTTTTCCTTTCTCTCTCTCTCTCTCTCTCTCTCTCTCTCTCTCTCTCTCTTACACACATATATATATACACACATTCACTCATATCACAATATATACGTGTATACCGCATTTTATTTTCGAAAGAGTCCGTTACGAATACCTTCGGGCACTTCGTTCGCAATACTTTTCGTTAAAAAAAAAAAAAAAAGAAAAAAAGAATCCAGAACAAGAACAAGAAATAAAAAGAAGGAGAAAAAAAAAAAGAAGGGGGAAGAAAAAAAATCAGAACAACACAATAAGAAGAATAAGGGACGAATTTTGTAGGTTTGCGTTATACGTCGTCATAATTTTTTCATTACCATTATTATTTCCCCCTTTGCCTTTACCTTTCACCCTCTATTTCTTTCTCTCTACTATACTCTACCCCCCCCCCTCTTACCCCTTACCTTGTTCTCTCACTTTTTATCCACGACCATCCACCATCCACCCTCTAGCGTTAGAACCAGCGTAAAATGGAAACAAAGAACGGGCACACGATAAAGAGGTAATTACGTTTTGAAAACGATGGAAAATACGAGTATACGTTCGTCGCAATAAACTCGTTTCAAAGACGATTTTATTTTCATCCCTTATTTCTTCTTTTTCTTTCCTCCCCCTTCTTCATCTCCACCTCCACCTTCATCTTCACCACCTTCTCCTTTTTCTCCTCCTGTTTCTTTTTTCTTTACGAGTATAAATGTGTATTATTAAACATATTTTTTTTAATATAGACATTAATATTTTGTTTAATTTTTTATTTGTTTTCACGCGTATTTTTTTATTGATATAAAATGTATTATATTATTTGAAATTTATTTTTCCATGGGGAAGGAAGTTTGGTAATATTATTTTTATTATATACTACTTAGAGAATAAAATTTTGGTAACGTTATTACGTTTCAATATGAAAAATTGTTTTTACATTTTATTTTTATTAGATTTTTTAAAAATGAATAAGAGAGTTTACACCTTCTCCTCTTCCTCCTCCTTCTCTTCTTCTTCTTGTACTTGTTCTTTCTGTTTCTTTTTCTTTACGAGTATAAATGTGTATTATTAAACATATTTTTTTTAATATAGATATTAATATTTTGTTACATTTTTAATTTGTCTCCAAGCGTATTTTTTTATTGATATAAAATGTATTATATTATTTGAAATTTATTTTTCCATGGGGAAGGAAGTTTGGTAATATTATTTTTATTATATACCAATTAGAGAATAAAATTTTGGAAACGTTATTACGTTTAAATATAAAAAATTTGTATATATTATTGTTTTTCATTTTATTTTTATTAGATTTTTTAAAAATGAATAAGAGTTTACACCTCTTCTTCCTCTTCCTCCTTCTCTTCTTCTTCTTGTACTTGTYCTTTCTGTTTTTCTCTTTACGAGTATAAATGTTTATTATTTACATATTTTTTTAATATAGATATTAATATTTTGTTTAATTTTTTATTTGTCTCCACGCGTATT